GTTTAGAATGCCAAATTTTACATAATTGATAAATCTGGGTGTTCATTTTTGCACTGAATCTGAAGGTTTTCATTACATTTTTTAGATTCCACTGATATGTTATTAGAGTTGCTTTATATACTTCTCTCTGTATCTGATTTTTAAATTAATTCTATGAAGCAATTTAAGTACCTAGTTTGTGCAAGCCTTCTGTTGGACAAAAAGTGAATGAAACCTGACTTCCAGGCCAAGTTCAGCAAGAGAAGGCCCTCTCACCTACCCACCAGCATGGCACAAGCAAATCTCCAAGGATTTGCTTGCTCAGAATAAAGAGAAACACCCAAGCATGAGGAATTGTTGCCTGAATTCCTATTGTATCTTGTCCTCCCCTCAGACCAGATCAATCTGTTCATTCCTAAAAGTATGCTGCTTTTACAGAGTAGAGAAACAGGGTTTGTTTGGGGAAAAAATACAGGGAACATAATTCTTTATTGTGGAACCAAGACAAGAATTGGTAGAAATTGTATTAAAAATTATTCCCTTTAGACCTCTAGACTACTGTGCCAAATATAAAATAAATGTTCAAATTTTGTAACTTATATCTCTTATGTTTTCTAAATGATTACTTAAGTGAGATTTTATTATGCTTTATTCCTAAGGAATTTCACAAAGAAATACATATTCAATTTATAATAAACTACTCTGAAATAAAAACCTAGAATTTAACACAGGTGCCAGTTCACAGGCTGCATTTCAAAGCTGTAACTTTTATGTTAAATAATATGTGTATTTTCCCTTCCTGTGTCAACTTAAGAAAGGCCAAATTAAGAATGATCCTCTTGTTTTTTATGGTGTGAAGGATCAAAGTAGGTAAAAAGAGAATTTGCAGAAATGTACAAATATGATAATGAAAAATCACAAGTGCAAAACTGTTAGTAAAGATGCTGCCTTTTGGAAACTTTACTATTAAATGATTAAAGGAACTCCAAATGAGTAAATTTTAGCTACGTAAGTCAGTTTTAGATACAAAGCCATGATTGAAAGGAAGAAGTAGAAATGTAACTATAAATAAGACAGGACTCTTGTTCTCTAGCTCCTTACGGTACAGTCTTATTAGATTACTTAAATCAGTATAGCAGCAGCGTTGAACGTGGATCATCAGCGGAAGAATGGATAAAGAGACAGCAGCAAGTAGACTCCTGGTTGTTTCCAGGTGACAGTTGACTAAGGACTGTTGTTATGTTAGTGGATATTTATTAATAAAAATATTTATTCAATGTCAGTTACAGGTTAGGCACTGTTCTTTTCACTGAGGATTCAGCTGTGGGCAAAACAAAGAAAGTTCTCCACCCCATGAAGCTCACATGTTACTGGAAAAGACATACAATAAGATAAATATGTAAGATATAGGGTATATCATAGAGTGATAGTGCATAAAGGAAAAGAAAGTAGGGAAGGAGTTGATATTGTAGTTGGAAAGTCCAGAGAAGGTCTCACTGTGAGAGCAATACCTGCGTGGAAGAGAATGAGGGAGTTAGTCATGAAGACCTCAGGGAAGTGCATTCCAGGCACAGTGAACATGACCAGTGTGTTCAGGAAAGAACTAGGAGTCCATAGGGCTGGAACCATAGGAGTAGGAAATGAACTGAAGAAGTATCAAGGAGCTAGATTATGTCGAAGCTGGGATCACTGTAGGAATTTAGCTTTTATCTGTGACATGGGAAGCCTGTGTTAGCTATTCATCTATGATCTCTTGATTCTGAAGACATCCTACGGTATTCTCAATGCTGCCGGGGCTGGGACTCTGTAAACTACAATTCCCTGTTAGTCAAAAGACCTCCTGTTAACTTTTTTTTTTTTTTGAGTATAACAGGTATAATTTTTTATTGTGCCACTCTTGGTATTTTATTCAATTGTTTCCATTTCATAGTAACTGGCAGTAGAAGGAGATTGGAAGGCAATAGGAAGAGATGAGGGGTTTACCGGTCACTTTGGCTGTTCATTTGATGAGTAGCAGCTAATAGCTTCAACCTTGACCTTCTTCAAGGACTTCCATGCCCAATCCCCCAGTATGTCTTCAAAGATGTGGCAGCAGCCATTAAGGACCTTCTTCTCAGAGGGAAGAATTGGGTTCTCCCTTTAACTTTCTAGGTCCTGGGAATTTTATTTCACCTATTTCAGCCCTGAGCACCTAGAAATGGACCCTCTCTCCTGTTTTTTTGAAATATCTGGTTGCTGCAATTTCTCTTTTTGTTCTTTCAACCTTCAAACAACCATGTTACCAATTCTCTGTTTGAATACCCTCTGTTCAAATTTCTCAGTGTGCTTTCTGTTTTCCTACTGGTCAGCGAAGCCCTGGGAGTGATGCCAGGAAACCCTCAAAGATGGGATTATGGAATTTTTAGATATGTCCTTGATCTTGAACTTAATGCTTAATTTCGTGTTGTAGTAAATGGGATACCGTATTGGCAAAAAAAAAAAAAAATGCAGTACAGCCAGTCATCTCAGTATCCTTGGAAATTGGTTCTAAGACCTCCTGTGGATACCAAAATTTGAAGATGTCCAATCCCTTGCATAAAATCACACAAAATTTGCATATAACTATGCATATCCTACTGTAACCTTGAAATCCTCTCTAGATTACTTACAATAGCTAATATGCTATAAATGTTATATATAAATATTTACTTCATTCAGTATATAAATATTTACTTCATTTTATTGCTTAGGGAATAATGACAGGAAAAGTGTTTGTACATCATCAATAAAGACACAGGTTTGTTTTTTTCCAAATATTTTCTGCCTGTATTTGGTTGAATCTGCAGAGAAGGAGGACCAACTGTATTTATTTAAATTATCACCTCTGATTCCTTGGAATAAAGCGCTTACTGAGACAAGAATCCTAAGGGGCAAAGTGCTGCAGCTGTGAGGACTAGAAGGTAGAATGACTACTTCTGACTGAAATGGAGAGTATACAAAAGCAGGATGACTCAGCTTAACAATCTCAAGGTTTCTCTTACCATCCTACAAGAATTTTTTTTAAAAAAATTTGTATCAGTATATTCACTTTAGTTCATATGTAGCAGGGCAGAAACGGCTGAAAATTAAACTCAACATTTAAGTATTTGGGTCAGTTCTAAAAATTACAATGGAAGGCATATTTACAGACTGTAAATACTTTCACAGTGTCTAAGGGAAAATCAGAACATTGACTGGGAAGAAGCGGGAACACTTGGGTTGATACAAATCGAGATGAAAATCTACCTGAGCCTTCCTTTCAAAGGAGATTCTTAGTGTCCTCAAGACTTATTACCAAAATTGTGTCTAGAGCTATATAGCTAGAAAAATTTTAAGTGTATTCCAACAGGGACAAGTGAAAAGTCCAGTCCAGGAAGAAACAGGCTATATCCCCCTCCCTCCCCCCCAAAAAAATTGCAATTCCTTCCTTCCTTCCTTCCTTCCTTCCTTCCTTCCTTCCTTCCTTTCTTTCTTTCTTTCTTTCTTTCTTTCTTTCTCTCTTTCTTTCTTTCAGGGGAGGGGAATACCAGGCATTGAACCCAAGGGTGCTTAACCACTGAGCCACATCCCCAACCATTTTTAAATATTGTTCACTTAGGGTCGCTCTAAGTTGCTTAGGGCTTCACTAAGTTTCTGGAGCTAACTTTGTACTCATGATCCTCCTGCCTCAGTTACCTGAATCAAAGGAATACAGGCATGTACCACCATTCCAGGCTTATTTTTCTGAATATAATGACAAAATCCTAGAAATATAGGTGCTTATGGCACATGTAATATAACATATAATAAGGATATTAGGTCAAGGAGGGTGAAATGTGACATTGGATCAGGCCAAGTTTATCAACATACATTTCTTCCAGATTTTACATAGTAAATTGAGCAGATGAAAGCTGTTCTAACAATATGTTTCTTTTATTGGATTCAGCCGTGGTCCTCTTTCAGTAAAGTTGGATGAAAATTTTTCTGGTCTAGGGTAAAGAAAAGGATTACAGTTACAAGAATGTTAAAGTAGACTATCCTTGTGAAATTGGCCTATCTCTTACCTCATTGCATCTCTTTAGAGACCACAGAAAACATTCCTTCACTCCTGCATGCACAACATCTTCAGAGAGCTCTAGGGCAGCTATATAAAGCTAATGATGGCAAAGGGAGACGCTGTCATTGAAAAGGGATTCCTAGCTGGGCCACACAATTGTAATTCCAATGGCTCTCAAGGCTGAGACAGGAGGATCAAAAGTTCAAATCCAGCCTCAGCAAAAGGAAGGCGCTAAGCAACTCAGTGAGACCTTGTCTCTAAATAAAATACAAAAGAGCCTGGGGGTGTGGCTCAGTGGTTGAGTGCCCCTGAGTTCAATCCCTGGTACCCAAAAAAAGAAAAAGAAAAGAAAAGGGATTTCTGATTTCAGTGGGTATCATGGGATCACAGTGTAGCAGAAGTCATTCACAACACTAACTTAAAAAAATAAGATTTATTAGTTATTATAAATGCAATAAGGAAGGATTGGTAATCAGAATTGACTTGCATGAATTTTTGATTCTGGTTGCTTTATTTCTTAGAAATGAAATAGAACAGGAGTGATATGCACGGGCAGACTTCTAAAGTATCTCTTAGCCATATAATGGGAAAACTCCGGTCTGATGGGAAGAAATTTGAAATATTAGGTTTCTCACCTACCTCCCGGACCTCAGCCAATTCCCAGACCTGGAATTCTTTGATCAAAAAGGAGACTGGATCCTTTTGAGAAAGGACCTTCCAACACTGCTACAATTAGAGCCCATAAAAGTTTTCTAAGCCTTCCTGAAACATGCCTGCACACATTTAATAGAAGACTGTGTGCTGGACAAAATGGATACTAATCCTAGGAACACAAACATTTTGGACCACTGGTTAAACTGGGGAAAAATCTGTATCACCAAGGTAATTAAGGGAGAAAGTGTATAGTGGGAAAAAGAAAGCTCTGTTACATTTGTTTTCTTCCTTGCTTATGTGTACAGGCAACATATTGTAAAGTAGCAGTCCATATAGCGTCTCCCTTCAAGACAGGAAATCTGTTTTTCTACACCTTAGCCCGTTGAATATGATATGTTTGTGAATTCCATGCCTGATTCTCAACAGAATTGTTTCCTTCTGCCCTCTCTCTGGAACTCTGCAACTGCCTTGGAGAAGAGCCCTGTTGATTACCATCTGGAGAATGAGAAGCCACATGGAACAGGGACGGGTCATCCACCCTAGGTCCAGATGCACAAAAATATCCAAAGACAGGCACAGCCATCCTAGCAGCTGAACTGTCTGTACACATGAATCGATCCAACTAAGACCAAAGAAGTCACTAATTTTTTCATCCTTGATTTTAGCCCCATTCTTCACGTAAGGATCGTTGGTGTGAATGTGACTAATCAGTAAGAGAAGTTCCCATCATTCAGAGATAGGGCATGGTAAATACTAGGAAATGGAGTCTCCTCTTCATGGAGAAAGTATGCATGACTTCACTTGTGTAAAAGTGAGTTGGACTTTTCTGGGTGGAAGCATGACATCTTAACTGTTGTGTGGAAATCAAAATATGTGTAGAGGAGTGTTTATGAGTGCTGAGTAGCCAAAGGATTTTTCAAATTACATTTCTCAGTTACCCTTGCCAATTGGCTCCCCTTTGGGTTCTACCTCCCGATACATGGAAAGAAGGGCAGTGGGGACTTCCTTCCTGTTTTTCCAGTCTTTCCCAGTATTGCCCCAGAAACAGCAACTGGATCAGCCTCCATTGTTTGATGACACTTCCAGCATAGTGTGGTGGCACACTCTCTGAGGAAGCAACACATTCTGGCAGTGGCTTCTCCCTTAGCAGAGAACCAGCCCTGCAGAGTCCCTCTTCTCAACTCCTAGTTCTGCTAACCCTTTGACTGCCCTTGGCCCAGCTGTAGCAGCTGCTACTCCCAGCATTTAATCTTTGTTATCTTCTGCTCTTCCAGGCATCCGACATCCAAATTAGTTCCCTAAGTTTGAAATATCTAGGGTTGCTTCTATTTTTCTGACTGGACCCGAACTCATGCAAAGCCAAACTGGAGGGTTTTGAGATCTGAAATAATTTGTCTTGCAGTTTGAGAATATCACCCTGTCTGCTGGGCTGTGTTGAAAGAAACGGAAAGGAGACACCAGTTAGGGGACTATTTTGGTAAAAAGACATAAAATAGAGCTTTGTCCTGGATTGAAGAAGTAGTTAAATTCTGTATATATTTTAAAAATATTGATGTTATCTATAGACAGACCAGGTGTGAACTTTGAGGAAAGACGAAAAGCCAAAAGTTATTGTCTATGATAGTAAGATAGGATCGGAAAGGATAGGATATGAACAGGATAGGAGAGTTTATTGTTATTGCTGGGCAATAATTAAGGTTAGTGATCATGAACTTAAAAGTAAAACCAATTAACATAACTGTGCGTTTATCTACAGACATGGTTCCATGATGGTTTTATTTATTAACACATTCCAAGCTGCTATAACAGACAAATCCTGAAATTGCACTGACCTGATCCAATAGAAATACATTTCAGTAACATAAAATTTAATAATTAGTGGGACATGGTAGAGTGTAATCCCAGGTCATACAATCCCATCTCTCAGTGATACTGGCTGGTAGAAGCTCAACCCTTGTTTTCCAAAGTCATATTGGTCATTGATACCCAGTTGGAAATTTGTGGAAAAGAAAAAAAAATTGATTTTCAAGAAATTTTATATATGTCTGGCCTGAAAGTGGCATGCATCATTTCTTCTCATATGTCATCCACTAAAATTCAATGTCATGGCAGCACCTTAAGCCAACCGATGCTAGTAAATACTGTTTAGCTTTATAACTAGGAAGAAAGGGAAATAGTTTAATGAACTAATAGGCAATCCCCATGTAAAGGGGAGACATCTCTGTCCATGCAAGCAGAGAATGAGGCAAACAATTTAATCAGGGTTTTCATTTTTTTCCAACAGTACCAAGAAAGTAAAACACAAAGTGGTCCCAAACATGTGCAAGGAATTATTATAATGACTGACCTTGAATTTAAACTGTATAAAGAATATATGGAAAGAGAAAGCGTGTTAGGACTGATGCACTGAGGTGCCTGGAGTGGTGAAAGGATTGTTTAAGCTGTCATCCTAGTGAGCATTGGCTGGCAAGGGAGGAGGTGTTGGTTGGAGAATGTGAGGTTTGAAATTGAAAACCTGGAAGCATTGCAGTGTTGGCCTTTACAAAGATAAGAGCATGACCCTAAAAGTTAGTTTCCAAGACACTGTACAAGATCAACTGGGAGAGAGTCTGTGAAGGAATTTAGATCCAGGACACTGACAGGTGACCTGTGCAGATATTGAAAGGTTGAAGAGCACGATGGAGATCCAGGTGCCAAAATCTTTGAGAAGAAATGTGAAAAATAAGAGCAGTGGATGACTTGGAAAGCAATTTAGCAAATAGAAGGACATGATTCAGTGGTTGGTTGTTGGCGGTGAAGATAAAGGAAACATCAAGAGTTAAGTCCAAGTTTCTCACTTAATGTAAATGGTGGATAGCCAGATAGCCTCTTGGTTTACAGGAGAGAAGCACTCCTTAATAGTAACCATCTTTTTGTCTCTCATCTACAGAAAAGAAAACAGAGAGATTATAATTGATTGACTCAAATTCCAGCTAGTGCAGATTCACCAATCCCTTCCTCACCATCTGACACAGCTCATAGTTTTAACAATTACCTTTTTCTAACTTCTAACCTAAAGTTGTAAGCACTGCTCAGAGTAAAATAGGCCAAAGAACAAGAAATTGGTTTTTGAAATTAGTGGCATGGAATAATCATTGATGGCAGTAAGAGCTGTTTTGGCAGAGCGCATATGCACACAGGACATAAGGCTGATAGAATATGTAAGGAGAGAGTGGGGACATATATACACATTTTGGATACTCAAGATATCTGTCAACATAAACAGAGAAAGAGAGAAGAGAGGGTAGAGGTAAAATTGGGGTCAAGAAAAGTTTTGTTTTTGTTAATTTTGCTTTGTCTTAAAGATGTAAAGAACTTTTTAAATGCTTATAGGAAGGAAGTGCTGGAGAAAGAGGAATAGATTACCTGAAACACAAGAGATGATTGACATCGTGTGCTTCCTGGGAGAGTGAAAGGGATTGAATGAGGGGTATGGGTGGAAGGACTGGACTTAAACATGGTGGGGGACAGTGTTTCTTCCTTTGAAAATGAGGGGAGGAAGTTAAGATAGATGAGGATGTCCTCTTATTGAGGGATTTAATGGTGTCTCATCTAATACTTTCTATTTCTCTCTTTCAGGAAATAAACTGACCTGAAAGATGAGTCTGTCATGGTATAAATTGAGGCCAAGAAAAGATATAGAATAGTTGTGAATAAGTGAGGCTAGTGAAAAATAAATAGAGTAGGATATGCAGGTACTGTTAGTGACCTAGATGACAATGGGTAATAATAACATCACTCGCCCCTATTTGTTATTTCCTCCAGGATTGTCCAGCTGCCCAAGACATAGAAAATGGATTCCTTCAGGATTTACTTTTGCTAAATGAATGCAATGAAAAGACCAAAGGATTAAAGTTCACAAGGAGGAAAAAAAGAATAACTGAAATAATGGAGCATTGGAATCTAAGCTGAAAATGAGGGCTGGGAAGATAAGAGGTGTCTGTGGTTATGTTTGTGATTATAGTTCAATTTAAGGTAAGACTAAGAAGAAGGCAGAGCATAAAGGGTCAAATGACTAAAGGCTCTGAAAAGGTGAAAGAATGGTCACCAGAGGATTAGCTGAAAAAAATATTCACTATAGATGCAGGACTTCAGATTTTATTAGTTTTAGGTGACGGAGAGCTGTGGTTTGTGGCCTTAATAATGGGTGTCAGAGTGAAGCAGAGAGCGCTGGAAAGAGTGACTTAACGTTCTGAATGGGCTGTCAAGAGGAGGAATCTCTGTGGGTGAGGTGGGTGTCATGGTGTTCAGTGAATGAGGTGAAAAGCCAACTGTAAGGCGTGGGAGAAAGTGATTGGACTGGAGAACCTTCCTTATGGACAGAGCAGAAGCAGAAGTCTGAGAGCTGCAATAAGAATTAAGAAAGGCAGGCACTGTAGTGATTGTTACTTTATATATGGTGATGACAGGAGGTAACAGCTACCTCCAGGCCTGGGTTCTCAATAGAGCCTGGGTCCAGTTCTGGCACGGGTGGTGGGGGATATAATGAATGAACAGAGCTTGAGGGGAAACTTCTGCATTGCAGAAACAGGTCTTTTAGGGAACACATTAGTCTGAAAGAAAGAAGAAGCAGCATTGGGAGAAGTCTCAGGGAGGCAAACAGCATACTACAGGTAGAAAATAGAATCTTGGGTTTTGTTTATTAGACCTTCTTAAGACTATTTTTCAAAGGGGTCAGTGAGATTTGGGATATAGACTAAATGCAGAAGCAATCAAAGGTCTGGGAATTCATGAGTTTAGTCCTGACAGTTTCTTTGAAGGAGGTGGAATTGAAGGACTGAAATG